CCCCCCCCTAAAAAAATGCCCTCTTCTAATGTTATAATGCCTGTACAGTGGAGACACACAAGTAAGCAGTACGCTACTACTATATATTAATACTACTAGTAGTTCTCCCACTCACACACATACAAGAGGAAAAAATCAATTTTGATATGATTCTGCATTTGATACTACTACTATCAAATAATGTAGGTCAGAGTTAAAATAATTCATGTATTTTGATGCATTTTTACTCGACCTATTTCCACATTTGGATATGCTCCGAACGCTTAGTTTTCCCCCATAAGAAAAATTGTTGCTTAGTAGTAAATGTATATTTCACCTTATCTCGCCTACAAAGCGTGAATGGTCGAATTTGACGGCGAGAACTTGCTGTTACTGCCGCAAACGCTAAGAATGGTGTTGGAGAAGGCGCTAACACCCTTCTGCTGAAGCTCTTCCTCGCCCTCTACCAGAATCATGGATAGACCAGCTTCCAGGTGCCAATCGATGTGGCAGTGGAAAATCCACACACCAGGGTTGTCTGCCGTGAAACGCAGCACCAGGTATCCGGCGTCCAGACACCCACCCTTGCCATCCGAAGTGCAGGGCGGGACAGTGTACACGTCGCGCGTCATCGGGTTAAGCAGTTTGAGGGGCGGTAGCTGGTTGTTTCGGATCTGCTCAATCGACGCCACACCGCTGCCTACGACCCAGGGTGAGTGCGTGTGCATGTGGAACGGGTGCTGCTCGTCCTTAACGTTGACCAGCACCACCTCAATGTGCTTACCAAACTCGATCTTGCGGGCGTTAGCATTAGCCGGAAGCTGCTCAGTCTTCATGCCGCTAGCGATCGAGAAGAGCGGCGGCTCTTCCGGGTGCACAAAGTGGTGGAACTCGCCACCGTCGATAGCGAAGTGACCAAGACCGTCTTGCATCTTGAACTGTAGGACAGCACGGTCCGAAGCAACTTCAGGAAGAGCGATCGGAATCAGAGGCAAGAAGTCGAATTCGCCCACAGTTGTCAGGTTCAATTGCTTCTGTGACGTCGGATCGGCGTAGTTCTCGGCATCGTAGGAGATCACTGCAAGACCTTCATACGTGTAACCCTCACCAGCGATGGTAGCGTTTCCTCGTGTCCACGGAAGACCGTGAAGTCCATTAGCACGCATCCAGAAAGAGCCAATCGCGTTCTGGTCGGAAGACGATTTCGCTTCCACCACAATGTCATAGCGCTGACCGGCATTCAAAGTCACAGAGTTGATGAGCTCCGAAGGCTGGAGGTTGTCACCGTCAGCAGCAACGACACGGAACTCGTGGTCATCGATGCTGAACACGATCGGAGACAGGGCAGCCATGTTGATAAGACGCAGAAGGTACTTGTTTCCAGCCTGGAAGTGGAACTTCGAGAGGTGCTGGTCGTCAGTACATTGCGTGAAGTTGTGATGATACGCGGCACTGCAGTTATAGCGACCACGGTTGTTGATGAGGATGTTATCCCACATGCGCGTAGGCTGCGGGGGTCGGTGGTACAGATCGGCCATTTGGATCGTGTACTCCCCGTCGATGTCCTTCTGCCATTCCTGTTGTTGATTCGCAGGGGCGTGAACAACCAGAGGGCCGCGGAGACCAAACGCGTACTGCGCCTTGTGATGGCTGTGCCACCAGAACGTGCCAGCCTTGTCAGGCAAGAAGCGGTAGATCGCAGTGGCGTTCGGAGCGATGTGGCACTGGGTGATTTCGGACGTGCCGTCCATCTCTTGGGTGCCAAGTTGCTTCAGTCCGTGCCAGTGCAGACACGTGGGCTCATCGATCTCGTTCGTCACACGAACCTCGACCTCCTGGCCCAACTCCACGTCAATAACGGCTTGGTCGGCAGGTTTGTCGTTGATTCCGAGAGAATGAATGAAGACACCGTCGTATTCGTTGGAGAGGGACGTAACGCGCCAATCATAGGTGACAAGGTCAGCAGCACTGGAGTCAATTTGGAGCGCTAACAAGGCCGAAGCAACGGCGGAGACGCGAGCGAGAGCCATGACTTGGATGATATGTACTGAACTCTACAGTAGAGTCGAGGTCCGTCTTGACAGCGGTGTGCAAATTGCGGAATGGGATCGAATGGTGAAGGCTGGTTGCGCCGCTAACTGCGAAAAACTTGGCTCGGCTCATGCAACCTTAAGATTTCGTTGTGCTTTGAACATACAGTACCGGCAGCATCGCGTCTTGGCACTGCCAAGTTGCCAAGACGCGTTCATGCGCGAAAAGAGCAAATATTTTGCTGTTCGGAGCAGATTGGTAGGATATGCTCCACGGTGGAGCGTAGCATAGCGTAACCACCGGGAATTGAGCCGGAACTTGAGATCATCTGGCACCAGTAAAGCCGGTCGAATTCCTTATGTTTCTTCATAATTTAGGTTCATGTAGTAGATTACGGAGGGGGACACAACGTGTACGTACAGTTAATGAGACGAGGTAAACTAAGGCTGTAGAAAGAGTTGGCATGACCGCCAGATTTGTGTTGTCCAAAATCCACCACGATTTTGCTCCGTTTGGTATTGTTAAGAAATTGGTGACTTTTTTTATCGGTCTAAAAGCACTGATCTATAAAATCTACGGTTAAGTCTACTGCTACTGCCGACATCACTTGTGCAGTTTGGTGGTTTATCATTTACTTCAAAGTATGCAGTTTGGCCGTAAACGGTCTGAACAAGAATACATGATCCGGGCGCAAAGTACATCATCACGAAATATCCTTGATTCAACGAACATGGCATCGTAAAAAGGGTTATAGGGATTGATCATGATGTGCAAGTTTCTCACCAATGCTAAGCAGTTTACACTCTCTCTCTCTCTCTGCTCCAGTGGCTCAGCCTCCACACACCCTAATTTAGGAGTCCTAAATGAGTTGAAGTGACATCCTACAGATTTGCGTCCATGTATCCATGGAGAGACGGTGGAGCTCCGTAGCTCGAGAACATTGCAACCACTCCAGTGAAGCATACATAAGCCAAGCTATAATACCGTACTGGTTACGAAGCGCGGCATCGTTGCATTATTAATAACTACGAGTTTTGGAGTGTTGGAGTTCATCGTCAAGCAGGCACACTACCAAATTAGTGCATTGCTCAAACATGCTGTTCGAGAACGAGTTCAACCCAATTGTTGTTGTTTCTGCTCTCCGTGAGACCACGTCAACTTGGCATTGTCACTTGGAAGTCGTGTACCAATTACAGTACCCGTTGTTAGCCAAATTTACATTAATTTTAAACTAATAGCTCTTTGTTTCCACCCAATGGTGAACCGGGGAGTTCACGTTCTGTAAGTTGATGAGTTATAAGCTCAAGCCTGCAAGCGTGAAGCTTCGTTGTATCCGAGTACGATTCGTCTATCGCGTTCATAGGATGACTTCACGGTGGTGATCGCTCGTGTTGGTATGTAAGTAGATATAGATAATATCTATCTATTAGATATCACAAAGATCCCCCATCTCTCAGACCAGTAGATTTGCAGTGAGTAAAATGGCGGAGTCAGTGTTGTTGTTAAAATCGTGTACAAATTGAACTGATCGCGGCTGACGCTTACTGCGACCTTCTTGGCACTATTCTCAGTATTTGTCGTCGATTCGAAGCAAAATAGCGCTGTCGTAATGCTGGATGCGGCATTCGTTCGGTGCTGGTCGTATTATACGAGCACTTCAGCAAATACAGCGTTTTGATTTGATGAAGGCGTGACCAGATTTCATGCATATCAAATCGGCATCACCCGAAGGAGAGACTGTCAGCCTGACGGTCAAGCAGCACTTACATACCGCCACTAACTCCAGCGAAAAGTCAAAATCTAATGTTTTTAGAAGAATATGATATACTTCTAAAACTAATGCCGTGATGCGCCGGGGAAGCTCTGGATATTTGGATACTTAATATTTAATATTATAATATTTGTCGATATTAATGAAGTGCATACCGTAACAACGCCAAAAAATGAAGGGAACCGTTGCCGGCCATGATTATAATTATGGAAATGTACAGGATCGCAATCCTGCATGCTTCCAGGATTTTGAAATTAAACTTTACTTTTCAACCCTGCTATTTCCGATTTCTCTTAATTCCGAATGAGGGAGATTTGGGTTTTCATTTCGGTTTTGGTGTCGAGGATGAAACGTGTCATGAGCGGCGGGGGAGGAATCGACGGGGACGGACGCACTGAAAATAGCAGCGGCGAAGGAGCTACGAGCAGCAGGTGTGGTGCGACTTCTCGTACGCGAGCGTCATCGCGGCCACGGCGTGGCCCCGGCCTCTCGGAGATGACTGGAGTTTCCATGGAGCTTTCGAATAGTGGTGATGGTGCATTGGAGACTGGAAACCATCGTGGAGGGATGAGTGGAGGCGGTGAAGTGGAGAAAACCGAAGAAGGCGTGGGGGACGATCAAGACAGTGATAGTGGCGGCTCGAGCGATGACGCTGAAGGCACAGATGACGCTAGTGGGGACGAATTGGTGCACGTGGAGCCGCCTGCGGTTTGGCATCCCAATTAGGACGCATGGCAGTCATACTTTACTCTCTATTGCGATCGAACGATGCAAGTCTTACCTGTAAAGGAGACTATGTCGCGTTCGGAGCGTAACAAACGTTTGCGACGAACCAAGAAGGGCGCTGATGATTCTCAGCTGGTACCTGATCAATTCGATCCGTATCAACGTACGTACATATGTACGCACGGCTGGAAAAAGAGGAAGTCACGTGGCGAAGGCAGTCGACCGCGCCAACATATCCCGCTCACTGACTGTCCTTTTCGCTTCGTAGTGCAGTGGAACCTGTCTCGTGGGGAGCTGCAAGTGAAGAACGGCTGCTTCAAGCACAACCACAGGGTCAGTGCGGCTGCTTATGCGACCTATCCTACTTCTCGTGGAGTTACGAACCCTCTAGTGGGTGCACGTGTGGATGGCATGTTGGCTGGTGGTGCTAAAAGGTCTAGGATCTACGACTACCTCTTGGACCACGATCAGAATGTGATCCAGGTCGACGTCGACAATTTGGTGCGTGAGCATGCATCCAGTGTTGCGTCGGTAGATGACAATGACGCCACGGCGAGAGAGATTGCTGTGTTTTCGGCTGCAGATCCCGAGAACGTGTCATTTGTTGCTGAAACTGAATCTGGAGAAACTGGAGTCATTTCGTTGACCACAGCCCACATGCGGAGGATGTTCGGGCGTTTCAGCGAGCTTTTGATGGTGGACTGCAGCCATAAGACGAACAGGTATGTGGTTGTACGTTATACAGGATTTTAGCAGGATTCGTCCATGATTTTAACATGATTATTTTGCAGATACAACTATCAGCTGCTGACCTTCATGAGTGTGAATGAATTTGGTGAAGGTTGTGTGGTACAGCAGTCGTTAATCAAACCTAATGGAGACTGGCATATGGAAAGGGCTATAGCTCATTTCAAACGGTCGAATCCTACCAAGATTGATCAGCTTCGCGTTATTGTAGTGGATAAGGATCTCAATGAGATCCGGGTGCTTGAGACCAATTTCCCTGAAGCTCGCCTCCTCATTTGTCACTTCCATGTGATAAAGTACTTGAAGGAGATGCGGTCGAAACCCGACTTTGGAAAAATTTCTGGAGAGGACGCTAGTCAGGTGGATGCGCTTGTCCACAAGATGGTGTACGCACGATCCGAGGAGAACTACGATGAAACTTGCGCGTCTTTGAAGGGGTTGTGCGAAAGAATTGGTATTCAGGGGTTCTGGGAATATTTCGACAAGAACTGGAATAGCTGCCAAGACCGGTGGGTGATGTATCGGTGGCAGAACTTACCACACTTCAAGACATTCACGGCGGTCTCTCAAGATGACGACATTGTGGAAGTCTGGGGGTCTACGCGTCATTATACTCTGCGTTTGGATGACTGGTGTTGCGATTGCGAGTTTTCTATCTCAATGAGTCTACCGTGCCGTCATGCGATCGCATATAGGAAGAAGGAGGGAGTGGCGGGGCCTTTGATTCCTTGGAATTGTACTCACGAGAGATTTGTAATGTTCAGGATTTGTCCAGGATTTACCCATGATTAATCCATGATTTTCTTGTAGATGGACTACTCCTACCAAACAACTTAAGAAGGTGCGTCAGTTTGCCTACGATCAGTTTCGCGGCGCTGGAACCAGGCCTGAGCCGAAGCCTTTGCGTTCTCAAGCAGAGCGTTATCGAGAAGCTGTCAGAGCGACTCACTTGATCGCCAATGAACTTGCTGATATCGATGATGAGGACGAGTTTAACACAATGCTGGAATTCATCTTGAGCCAATGGCGGAACGTTAGACAAAGGAAGATCGCTAATACACAGGCAGATGACGCAGATGACGCGCGTGAGGGTATTCAATCTGATTCTAATCCTGCACGTGGAGCACAGTTCGATGATGCGGCTATCAAGGCGGAATTCGAGATCAGCAGCAGCGGAGATGACGATACAGGGTCGAATGAAGACGAAGAGAGCATAGGCGTAGAGTCTAAGGTGAAGATTCGTCTTAATCCAAAGACTAGAAAGGTGGGCAGGCCCAAAAAAGACAAGTCTAAGACAGTTGTGAGCGAAAAAGTGGATCGACAGTGGTTTGAAGCTATGGAAAAGGGTCGCAAAACTGCTGGAGAAGTCACGTTGGAAGCGTTGTTGGCTGCTTTGCTGACTGAAGAACCCACACTCTCCGAGACACAGCGAAGATTATCTGGAGTTATGGTCAAACACAACGGGGCAGACCTCAAGAAACCTCAATTCAAGATGCTCAAGAATCCTGTTTTAATCATGGATGCTTTCTACATTTTACCGCCGAAACTCATGGATGCGTGTATGAAGGTGTTGCCGCTGGCGAACACTCAATCAAGCGCCATCTCTGTGGATGAAGACCGGACCAAGAAAAAATCGCAGACTGAGCGATTGACTGAGTGCGTGCACATTAAAGGGATTGGAACCTTTTTGCGTGCCCAAATCGAGCTGTTCAAAAGGGTTCAAAACTTGAAGGATACTGTTCAGCTCGGTGTCGACGCGCACAAGTGGCTACTGGAAGGTGGACTTCCATCTCTACCCGCTGGGTATCACGATTTGGTTAGGAAGGTGGCAGATGATGTTGAAGCGACCTTTCCGTACAGGCTAATCCCTGGACTGCCTCAGCTTGAAGACTATCAGTACTCGCTCTTGTATAGAGCTGTCCCTGGAATTTGGCTATCCGATGCAGCTATTCGAGCAGTATGTGAACGCTTGGTCACTGACTTCCCGTCGTGCAGATTTGCTGGTTTCGTACGTGCAGAGACCACAAAGAAGCGGACCCGTAACACCGACGAGATGCTTGTGGATTCTATCGTTCGGAATCGTATTTCCACGCAAGTAGCGGAGTCTGGAGTCGATACAGTGTTTCTCCCGCTGAATTTTATGAACTATCATTGGTGCTGTATAGTAATTAAGGTCCAAGCCAAGCGTATCTTCTTCTACGATCCGCTGAACCAAGGCCCGTACAGAAACTCCGCACTAGCTATAGCAAACTATCTCAAGATCAGCGGGTTGAGCGACTACGACGTCGTCTCGCAAAATAATCCGCTCCAGTTCGATGGATCTAGCTGTGGGGTTTACGTCGCTTGGATGTTTATTCGTCAAGGTACGCCCGTGCCCGCACTGGATATGAGCAAGTTCACCCTACCAAGGCGTCGCTTTGAACTGTTTTACTACCTGCTCACGGGTCGCTTGCTCCCAATTCAACCCGTGCAAGCTGTAGGTGGAAATCTTGAAGATGAAGAGATGGAGGAGAAACCACCAGCGCCTACCATAACACAGCAGCGCAACGAAGAAGAGGAAGTGCCGCCGACTCAAGTTTCGCTGTAGGTTCGCAATAAATTGGCAAGATTAATACATGTAGCTTTGCTTTTCATGCCGTAACACGCACGTTTGCAAAACAAATCTAATGGCTAGTTGATGAGGCATCTTCAAAGTACTTGTGAGTTTTTCAACAGGTAAAAGCATGATTTTTCCATGATCATCATGTATAAATCATGGAGCAGTATTATAACATGATTAAATCCTGGTAAAATCCTGTGTGCAACCGTGACCCCACGAGACGTATCTTCTTCGTCCTCGACGTATCTTTCCGTATCTTCCCCATAGGGGTACTCAGTTATGGTATGATTTTAGAATCCAGGATTAATCCTGTACTCAATACTGGATAGTTACATGATTATAATCCTGGCCAGCAACAGCTGCCAAAAATGAAACTCGTTCAAAGTATTTTTTTTTAACGAAACAAACTACTTTTTCTAAAAAAAAATCTTTTATGCACACTAAAAAAAGTGTTTCTTTTAAATTTTGAGCCAGGTATCTAAAGGGACCGACAGTGAAGGCCCGGTCCGAAGGAGGAGGTCATGTCACCGCCTATCATCAACACTCCCCATGGATGTGCTGAGAGCATGCTGCCAAAAGGTGAGGCCCAAACCAAGATCTCAGAAGGAACCGATAGCGTAGGTGCGCAACCTGGATCAAACAAGGAGTGCTTGGCACCGACCATCGTCAGCGCTCATAACGAATGCGCTGGGGGCATGCTACCAAAACCGAAAAGCAAGAACAAGACTTCGAAGAAACTGAAGCGTGAATAAG